GAGCTGCTGGTCTCGTTGGTGTCGGAACATAAAGAACTATTTGATAAACGCGACAGCGACTACAAAAATCTTGATAAAAGAGAACTGTTATGGAGTGGTATTGCAGAGCAAATGGGCGCCATCTAATGTCAGGGAATGAATTTGCATGTTCACTCGGCTCATCGTCAGCGAAAATCGCTTGGGTGTGAACACAAAAAACCCGTTGAAAAACGCTGGCGAATAACGCGCGCCGATATTGTTTTTTTTTATATTGTTGTATGTTTTTTTCATCTGATCTTTTGTCCCCACCACTTTTCAACACAAACTGACGCCCCTGAGCAGAGGGTTTTTGAAGTTTCTGTCTTTGATGCATGTTTTTATGTAACAATGTTCATATGTTCTCTAATTAAAGGTGCTCTAAGCGATGTCGCGCGTTTTTTGGCCAAAACATTTTTTGTCACATACAGCAAACATCTCCTCACTATCCGCTGGCTGCCTGTCCTCTGAACACACTGTAAAGAAACGCGATCTCTGTAGACAGCCCAGGCTCCACAAACAGCAACAAAAACAAACTGCAGCGACCCGCTCCCCGAAACATAACAAACTGTTCCAGCCAATGACCGACAAAAAGGGTTTGGGGGTGTGGTTTGGGGGGTTAGTGTGCGGATGAGGAGGAGGGAGGGTCTAGCTAGCCTCCGTTTTGTTTGACAATAGTTCGAACGTCAACAAGAAGTGATGTCACCCAGGATCGCTTAGAGAACCTTTAATAATAAAAAATAAAATCCACTCTCCTCAACAATAACGCCAATTCAAACACTGACTACTACAACCCACGGTGTTGCCATGGTTTGGCTTCACTTTTATAAGAAATACAGCCACCAGGTTTCAAATCTGTCAACACTGGATCGGGCTGTCAAAGCAGTCAGGTGGTTCACTACAGGAGTGAACCAGTGTGTTTGCTTCAGACGTCATTTTCACGTGACTGGTGACGTAATGATACAAGCTCCGAAGCAGTGGTTCATTGCAAGGACCGATCGAGTTTGAAGCAAGCTTCGGAGCGTCGGTGTCAGACCTAACATCACTACCTATCACTGTGCTGAGAAGAGCACAGCCATTACTTTTAGAATTAAGTAATTATAACTTTAATGGTATTTGACCAATCGTCAACCGAACCACAGAAAACTCTTTAGCACAATGGTAACAAAATAATAGAACATTAAACACTAACAGATCACCCCCTATATTAATATATAACACTAAACACATCTCAGTCATCTCAGGCACAAGCTCAATCCCAGCTGATAACAATCTGAGTTCCTGCATTATGGTGGAAAAGAGAGAGAATGTGCCGAAAACAAACCAAACACACCAAAATAAAATATAATCAAGCAAGCACAATACACATGATATAATACACCAACAAATGTCTTGGACATACTGTACTACTTTACCACAAATAAAATAATTTATGTCATCTCAACTCGAATGGATTAAGTAAACTGAATGAACAATTAATTTGTTTGATTAATTAAAGTAAATTGAACAAATTTAGTTTTGAGTGCCCTTTTTGATCAAGATATTTCAAAATGAAAACATTGAGTAACAGTAACAGCCAAAGCGTAACAGTTTCAGGTCAGTTTAACATTATGCAATCATGTTTGAATAAAAAATTTGTTACAATACTGTTAAATCAAAATTATTTGTTTAAATAAAGTGAACAGCATTAAAAAAAAAACGTTTTGAGTGTTGTAATACGCATAATATTAAATTATTATAATTATGTCACCTCCAGTCCTCCCTATTTTGATTATTTGGGTAAGCAGTGAAAAATAGCTCCAGATATGTGCATTAGTGTATTAGTGAAACTTGGCTACATGATAAAATTCCAACCAGCATAATTGATGTTCCGGGGTATACATGCTTTAGAAGGGACCGAAATGTGGGCAGGGGTGGGGGTGTACTGATATACATTAAGGACACATTCAATGCAAAGGAAATGTATCCAACTGTTGATATGTCTACTGAATGTTTATGTATTAATGTAATATTGTCGCAAAGTATGCAATTTTATATTTTAACGGTATATAATCCTCCCTCGGCGTGCACTGCAACGCTCTGCGAAAATTTGGATGCGCTGTTTAAGAACTTTAAGCCCAAGAACGAGGTGCTTGTTTTCGGAGATTTTAATATAAATTGGTTAGACAAACACGGTAGGAGAAATTTTAAAAATCTTACAATAAAACATGACTTCGTTCAAATAATTGAAGCCCCTACACGTATCACTAGGAATACTCAAACACTAATAGATTTAATTTTCGTGAACAAACCTGACAGAATCATAAAAACATATAATTTAGTCACTGGTCTATCTGACCATAATATGATTTTAATTGCATAAAAAAAAAAAAAGAAAAGAATGACCAGGTTTTTAAACTCAAATCAGAATTCATTTAAATTTGAAATTCAGCGTAAAAAGCTGACTGAATTTGAGAATGAGTTAAAAGGTGTAAACTGGGATGAGCTCCAACAATATGATCAAGTAAACGACTGCTGTAATAAGCTTATGTCCACTATTGAGAGAATTGTTGATAAATACATTAAAAAGCGGAAAAAAATTCAGAGAAAATTTCAGCTACCATGGATGAGTGATAATATCCGAAAATTGATGAAAAGCAGAGACCTTGCCCTGAAAACTTTTATCAAGCCCCGAAGGGACACTGATTTAAAATTATTTAAATGCCTGCGTAACCAAGTTGTTAAAGAACTCAGAATGTCCAAATCAAATCATTATATTCAAGCTCTATCAGAGGCTAAGGGGAATGGCAAATTAATTTGGAAGCAACTGAACAGCTTATTAAATCCAAAGGGTAACGCCACCCAAAACAAATATTAACTTAAAACGGATGAACACATCATCACTGATAGTGCACAAGTTGCTAATGAATTCAACAACTTCTTCATGCAATCTGTTAACAACCTTGCGTCAAGCTTTCCATGCTGGAACAATATAGGCCTAACAACAGTAGACCTGCTTGAAGATCAAGATAACTCATTTCAGCTCAGGGAGGTAAGTCAGACAGCTGTTCTGAAATCTATACTGGATCTAAACACCACCTTTTCAAAAGATATTTTTAATTTAGATACAGCTTTTCTTAAAAAATATAGTAGTATTCTGGTCCAGCCTCTTACCAATCTGGTTAATATCTCCATTAGATCAGGGCAATTTCCAAACGGGTGGAAAAATGCTCTAGTAATACCGATTTTTAAATCAGGAGATGACAAAATGTCTTGTAATTATAGACCTATCAGTCTTCTTCTATGTCTAAGGTTTTAGAGAAGATTGTCTCAGGACAACTTGTGCACTATCTTGAGACAAACCAGTATCTGAGTCCTGGCACAACCATTCCACAGAATCCGCTACTTGTTTATTTACTGAAAACATTAAACAATCACTTAAAAAGGGAAATGTAGTTGGTGCAGTATTTTTAGATTTAAAAAGGGCATTTGACACAGTAAATCACAACACCTTAATTCCAAAATTAGCTAAGTTCAATTTATCCAAACAGTCATTGTGCTGGTTTGATTCATATTTAAAAGGCCGTGAACAGTGTGTTGTGATTAATAATGTGAGATACACTTTTCTTAAAATCAAAACAGGGATTCCTCAAGGCACGATCTTGGGACCCATACTCTTCAGTCTCTACATTAATGACTTGCCAGATGTAGTATGTCCAGATATAGGTCTACAGATGTATGCAGATGACACAGTGGTATATGCATCTGGTAATACCTATATTTCTGTGGCTGACAAACTAAATGCTAACTTAGAAAAAATATCATCTTGGCTGACCTCATCTTGTTTAACCTTAAACACCAAAAAAAAAAAAACTCTGTCTGTTTTCCATTAAAAAACTACCTCTAACACAACTTTTGAACGTAAAAATTAATGGGGAACTTATTGAACAAGTACCTGAAGTGAAGTACCTCGGAATAATTATGGACTATCAGTTGAACTTTAAAAGTCATATTAAGAAAATAAAACCATTAAGGCCAACTTGAGCTGGTTTATGATGATAAGAAACTGCTTGACTCTTGACTGTGCTTTTATTTTTTTTAATTCTATGATTCTAACACACATATCTTATGGCTTAACCACATGGTCTCAAGCTCATGAGTCATCAATCAAAACCATAGAGTGTCTTTATAACCGTGCCTTGAAAGTTTTGGACAAGAAGAGAATAAGGTACCATCACTGCCAAATTCAAAGCAAATATAAGATTTTAAGTTTTTTCTAATTTTATTTCCTTGCATCTGGTTAAACTGGTCTTCAAATGCTTAAATGACGCTGCTCCACCACCGCTTTGCAAAACGATAACAAGACAGCAAAGTACTAGATCAATCACCCGTTCAGTGTCAAAAGGCAACTGTAGGATCCCTTTTCGAAGAACATCTTTTGCCCAGGCTGCTTTTTCAGTTAAAGGGGCAACATTATGGAATTCTTTGCCAGACCGTTTGAAATGTATCCCAACATTAGCCTCCTTCAAAAAAAAATACAAAATCGTGGTTAATTCAGGAACATTGCTCTCATACTTAGTCTTTATACTTTGCTATCTCTGTATATTTCCTGTCCTTTTTTATTTATTTATTTTTTATTGTAATTTTCTTCTCATCTTTTTAATAATGTTAAACTGTATTTTTTATCAAAAAGCCCTACTAGGGACAAGTGTCGTGAATTAGCTTTAGCTAAAAACACTATGATACATACATCAGATGACTGTTAAAGTTGATCTATGTTATTTGTGTCTGTCCCTATCTAAATAAACTATAAAAAATATATATATATATACCTGTATTACATTTTTTAATATGCTATTCTCTATTTTTTTTTTTTTTTTTAGTTTTGAAAGCAGAATTTTTAAATGTAAAACATTTGATTTATTTGAGCAGGCTCATTTCAGAAAAATGTGTACAATGGTCCTATAGTGAATACAGCTGTACTCAGAAACTTTCTCTCTCCTCAGGGTTCAGTGCTGAGATCTCTGTGTTTGTGCAGACGGGAGATTCTGTTCAACTGGATATACAGACACAGAAACTACCAGAGTTTGATCTTTTATCCTGGAGAAATGATAAATCAGAGAATGTAGTTAAATATATAAGTGAAACTAAAGGAGTAAAACCTCTCAATTCCTACAAAGACAGAGTGGATTTCAATGATACAACCTTCTCTCTCACACTGAAGAACATGCAGAAGACAGACAGTGGACTCTATACAGCAATAGCAAGTGGAGATTCAGAGAACAATATTGCTACATACAGAGTATCTGTTATAGGTGAGTGATTTTGCTTGGCGTTTTCAGATCATAAAACTCATTTATGTTAAGCTTTTTATTCTTTGCACTGTTGTACAATACAAGAAGTGAAATTAAATGTAAAAAATAAATATTAAATATAAAAATGTGTTTTATTCATAATTTATTTGCCAACGTTTCAGTTAGTACACTGTAAACATCTATAGGAATTTGGAAGCTTACAATAGAGTGATGTATGATATTGTTAAAAAATAAATGTGTGTTTCAGACGCTGTGGAGGCTCCTGTTCTGACTGTAAACTCAAACTGGTTCAGCGGTAACTTCTGTACTGTGAACTTCACATGCAGAGCTCATGACCTCATGATAAACTCTAGCTATCAGAACAACAGATGTATTGCACAGGAAGTGACATCACAAATCAACACTCTAAACCTGAACTGCAGTGAGGAATCCATCATCTGTAACCATAGCAACCCAGTTAGCTGGAAAAAAGACAGAATAAACATTGCACCGCTCTGTGTCAATAATAAAGGTATCTGGCCAGACACACACACACACACCATTTAGTAATCAATCATATGGTAAATCAAATATCTCATTTTGGTTTACTAAAGCTATAGTCTGCTTAACTGACAACTACAGTTCTTAATGATATGTTTCTCTTTTTCCAGAGAATGACAAGACTAAGTCACCTTTCCAGTCTCAGCAATATATTTGGCTGTCAGTGTCAGTGGCAGTGGCAGTGGCAGTGGTAGTGTGTCTTTTGGTAATTGCAATTCTCAGCTGGAAGCGTAAAAAAGGTATGCCCATGTTGCCCCATACATATTTTATATGGAAAACATCTCTGTTCATCAATTTGGTCAAGTACTTTCGTACTAAAATAAGTAATTTAAAATTAAGTTTAAAAATAGGTTTACACCATTTTTTTTCTCTTTTGGTAAATTTTATTAATGCAGAATACTGGTTTATCCTACCTTTAATTCAGTAAAGACTGTCATCACATAATTTAAATATCATAAGTTAGTGACCAACTAAAACAAAATATGTTAATCTTAAACTATTCTGTTTTTTCCCAGTTAAATTCATATTCACCTCAATACCTTTTCAGGTTAAATATGACAATGTTTTGCTCATACAGAAATGTATTTGTTCTTTGCTGGGGCCAAAAAAGAAGGAAAGGAAAACAACAAATTCAAGAATATTCATAATATTTAGCAAAATATGAAATGCAATACTCATCTTTACTCATAATGCAATAATTATCTTTATTTATAACTGAAATGGTTTACACACCTGTTGTTTACACAGTGTAAAACAACTTTTTCTGTCAGATGCAGAAGGTCCACAAATTAGAAGACACACTGATTTGAGCAGTTTGAGAAATGAATACATTCCCCTTTTTTTTTTTAATGTTGATATATTATTGTACATTCTAAACCTCAGGTGCCCAAGAGGCTGAAAGTACAGTCTATGCTCAAGTTGAGGTAAGCTTCACGTTACTACTTTACGCATACTTTATGAATATGTTGTCATGCTGTTATTTTTATTCATGTTTTATTCAACATGAATAATTGGTTTCATATTTCCTTGTTATATTTGATGTCATTTGTTTAGCAAATGTATTACTATGCAGTATATAATCTAAACAAGATGCATAACCAAATTATTTAACCCATTAACATAATTTACCTGAAGGCAATGTTTGACTTTGCATAGCAGAAAGTGTTTAGACACATTTCGGTTATAAATAATAACTATTATTGCTGCTTACTTTATAATTAAACCTTCTAAAGAAAACATTGATATTCCCAAATCCTGAATTAATCTTTCTGCAACTAAAATCAATAATATGAATTGATTACAATTTTACTTTTTTTGGCACCAGCAAAGATTTGTTTCTCTTGCAAACAGAGCATATAATACATGTCATGCATACAGGTTCACAGTGAAAATAATTGTAGATAAAACTTTCCGATTGCTAAAAAGGTATGTTCTATAAAGTATGAATGTGTGTAGTATATATGTAATCCAGATGTACTACATTCACCATATTATAATTGTTTCATGTGACCCACCAGCGTCACTTCACTGCCATTCACATATCCTCTCCCGTGGCCTCATGGGATAGTAAAGTTTAAATTGTATGCGCACTTCAGAATCTCACTGGGAGTATTAAGTCATCATACTCTTTTGTTTTTGTCTACTCTTTTATGAGTTCAGACATACTACTCTTGTCTCATACTGTATTTTGCCTACCATATTGAGAAGAATGATCGCTTTTATTGTCCTGCCTCCTTGTTTCCTTTTGCCACATCCACTCGTTTAGTCCTTTTTTTTAATTCAGGACAGCATACTACACTTACCCAATATGGTAAGAATAATAAGAGTAGCATACAGTTCCGAATTCAGAATCTGTCTAGTCCTCGTTTGACTAATTGACTTTCCTTTCCTCAAATGTCCTCTGGATTGCTTTGTGCCTGTTTGTTCTGTGCTTTTCACTTGTTTAGTCCTGGCTATAATCTCTGTATTAGCCTTGTTGTGTCTCCGCGTTGTTTCAGCTAAATGCCTTATCCAGAGACTTGCTTCTCAGCTGGTGTTGCTCTCTTTTCAAACTGCCTATCACAGCGTGGCAAGCCTAAGCCAGTGAGTGTCCATGAACTCCATATACACAGCTACTATTAGTTTTTGATAGAACATTATAAATAAAGTTTTTGGTTTGAAAATTTCAGACTCAAGAAATGCAGAAAACCAACAGTGACGGTCATACATATGATGTTCCAGAACGGGTGAGAATAATCTAAAAAGTGAACAGGCTAAGATTATGAAAAATGCTTCTATTAAATGCTTGTGTAAACTGTAGGTTAGTGAATGTTTGATTAAATTGTCTTTCTTTATTTTAGTAATTGTTCAGCTAAGCATGCTTATTCAGGGGACATTTTAAAAATACAACTTTTTATATTTAATTCATAAGGTACAGGATCAGACGCAGGAGCAAACGGGAGATAATCGACCCAACACAACCTACAGCACAGTAGGACAACACCAAAAACCTGCAGTCCCTGTCGAAACAGACCATACTATTTATTCAACAGTGTGCAAACAACCAACCAAGAAACCACCCACCATTTCATCTGATGATGCATAACATGAAACTGTGTTTGTCACATGGGGAAGTTTCACAAGGGCTGATCTCAAAATGGCATCCTACTCTTACTATCTCTGTCATATCGGCATATGGTAGAAATAATAAGAAAAAGTATTCTATCCTATTCTGAAATTAAAATCAGAATCAATATCATACAAAATCAGTATAAAACTGCAGATATAATATTGGCCTCACTTCCCATGTTATATTTAATAATTATACATTTATTCAACGGGTATAAAGCCAGAGAAGTTAATGCAGTACTGCAAATCCAATATTACTTATCTATGCCTATAGTAGCAAAATCACAAGTCTTCCAAGTGCATTTTGACAGATACCCACTAGATGGAGACATCGTATCTATGTTCTATACCATAGTTCCTGGAGCTGCACAGTTTAGCTTCAACCTTAATTAAATCCTCCTGATCCAGTTAATCAAGTCCTTCAGGCTTATTTAAAAACTACAGGGGCCTCATGTATAAAACTTTGCGTAGATTTCATCCTTAAAGTGTGCGTATACGCACATAAGGCAGAATTTGCGTACGCACAAAAGTTTTCAGATTTATAAAACCGTTCGTACGCCAGAACCTGGCAGAATTCACTTTATAAATCCCAGTCAGTGGAAGATTGTGCGCACGCCCGTCTCCTCCCCGAAATAACCATATGGAGCTTACAGCGAAATACGGATGTGCCGTCACATTATTACATTCATAATTTTTTTAGTAGCTATCCTTGCCTTGTTTTTAAATAAATAAATCAAATAGTGTAAAATACATTTCAGAGAAAGTTTTTCTCAATCTTTTCCACTGGCCAAATAGTATTTTTAATTGATTTAGGCCTATATTTTTAATGGAAACAGATAGACATTGTTGTGCATTATTTGCGATGTCGCCATTCTGACGCTCCTACTGCCGCCGGAGAACCGACGGTGGTCCGCCGACTCATTGCTATCTGGGAATTTCCCCAGACAATCTGCTATTAGCTATCAGTTAAAACATTAAAACACAGCATGGCAGAGAGAAAAGTGTTCAAAAGCATTGCGTCCACAACAAATAGGTCTATTTCTATTTATTGAATATATATTTTATGTAACTTCTCAGTAATGATTTCATCAAATCAAATCAAATCAGGTTTATTTATATAGCACAGTTCATCCATCAAAGCAATTCAATGCGCTTTACAATGAAAAATAATTAAACATCATAATAAAAATACAAGATACAAGCAGACACAAGAAAAATTTAAAACAATAAGATAAAAAGACGTAAGAAACTGTAAGGCTGAACAGTACAGCTAGGTTTAAGACCTCAGTCATAAGCACGTGAAAAAAGAAATGTTTTCAACTTGGATTTAAAAATCAATACGTTTGGAGCACATCTAAGATCTTCTGGTAATTTGTTCCAGTCCTGTACAGCAGAGATGCTAAACGCAGCTTCTCCATGCTTTGTTCTAAAGCGTCTTCATGTAGCTAGTTTAAGTGAAACTCCATTAATGAGAATGGCATATTTAATCTAAATGTTTATATCAGAAGTAAAACAGTTTAAATCGTTCTTTTATTTATTAAAATGTTATTGTGAACACATGCTTCTGAGCCCGTTCTCATCCCAAGGCGTAATATACTGACTCTTTTGCCAAAGCGTCTATATCCAACGCATATGGCACCCTTTAGCGTCATATGAGACGCAGATATATGGCGCCTCCTAGTGGTCTAACCCTAACACTACCCCAGACCTAAACCTACCCAAAACCGAAGCGTGTTATATTGACGCTAAAGGGTGCCATGTGCGTTGGATATAGACGCTTTGGCAAAAGAGTCAATATATTACGCTTTGGGATGAGAATGCGTTGCAAGGCGTAATATACTGACTCTTTTGCCAAAGCGTCTATATCCAACGCATATGGCACCCTTTAGCGTCATATGAGACGCAGATATATGGCGCCTCCTAGTGGTCGTTGGAGCGCTTCTTGACGGTTTTGTAATTAACACCGATGATGAGTAGCGATTGTGCTTCATGACTGTATTTGCAGACTTATCTAGCTTTATATAGAAAATATTTCCTTTTTACACTGTGTTCTGCAGTTCTCTAATAAAAGGGTAGGCCTATTTCATGCTATTCTGTATCACATGTAGTCCCGCCATGTCCTCCTGCGCTCCCGTTGTGGACAATGTGACTGTAAGGCAGCGCTGATTATTATTATTATTTTTTTATATACATTTTGAAATACGTTTGGATTTTACTAGATGTATATAGCCTAAAACAATCGGCACAAATAACACTGTTGGATTTAATCTTCATGATAATGTGGATATAACGTATGAAATGGAGTGAAAATTAAATGTCATTAATTCTTATAATCGTTCTTCTCACATTTATTTTCTACAATCTAACTTCAGTTCACTACCTCACCATCTGTGTCGCCAATTCCCTTTGTCTCCAGAATATGCACGGTCAAGAGCATCGGTGCGCACTTATTTACGCCAAGTTTATTTTTTATGAATCCCGATATGTAAGTGGAAAAATGCGTACGCATATTTCTATGCCCATTTTGTGCGTACGCAACGTTTATGAGGCCCCAGGTATATAAGATGAAGCAAGGTTTGATCTAAACACTGTTGGTCTGACACCCCTGTTATTTCTTATTTAAATTAGACGTTTGTTGATTCTTGAATTTGATTTTATCTTTGATAAACTCTCAAATTAGCTCTTAACACTGGATATTTTAAGAAAATAGGCCAAAAATTCTGATAGGAGTGGTTTGTGTCTGGATCTTTTCTATGATTAGAATTAATGAACTGCTCTGAACAACTTTTTGTTCAAATCACATACTCTGTTGAGGTAGGCTACTTATTTTGAATAAATTATATAGTATGAATGTCACTCTCACTTTAGAATCTCACCAGCAGTAAGTCATTTCTTTTACTGTCTATGGTCATTAGAGTAGGCTAATTTTTGTTTACCCTTCCTACTGTGAATTCATTAGATTAAATCCTACTGTGCTTACTTCTTTTGTCACATAATGATTTCACCTGGGCTACTAGCCTAGGGATTTATGTGGTTTCAGACGCAGCCAACAAACCGAAAGAAATTATAATATTGAAGTAGAGTATGGTTAATCAGTCACTTTAATAGCAGTTTAATAGAAGTTTTACGATGGTTAGTTTTAATAAATGGAATTTTATTATGAAATGTTTATATTTTATTTATTCGCAATATTTTCAATGAAGATAGGTATTTGCATAAATATGGCTTTATTTAAATGTTTTGATTTTTGAAGTAGGGCCTATATGTACAGTAATAGAGCACCACTGTTTTTTTTCTGCACTCATTATTCCCATAGGGATTTTTTTAAAGTCTTTGTTGAAGAGTTACCACCTACGAGGTGAATAACATTACAAACATTTATTTGAAGCAAAAAACAAAAGTATTTGAAAATCTGACAATTTCTTTTCCGATTTTCCAAAAGTTTTTCTTCAAAAATTCTGCTGTTAAATATGATCATTTAAAAAAAAAAAAGTCGTCTATATAGCACTTTTTACAATACAGATTGTTTCAAAGCAGCTTTACAGTGATAATGTCACGATGTGGGTTCATGTCTTGTTCCTGTCTGTCTTGTGTTCCCCCCATTATTGTGTATTTGGTTTAGTCCTTTCTAGTTTTCCCGCTCCTCGTTTGTGTTCATGTTTTCCACCTGTGTTCTTAGTTAATTGCCCAGCTGTGTCTTGTTTCACTCATCCGGGGCCTCTGTATTTAAGCCCTGTGTTTTAGGTCAGTCCTTGTGAGTTCTTAATGTTGTATGGTTGCTTTTTCCTGTGTTCCTGGTCTGAGTTTTATTATTATTATTAAATGTGCTTGCAATTGGATTCATCTCTCCGCTTCATTCCTGCCTGCTTCGTTACAGATAACAGGAAAATAATGCTACAGAGTTTGTTTCTGCTGTAGAGCAGATCTAGAAGAAAATAGTGTCATATACCATCTAAGTAAGTTCAGTGTTCATTTATTTCTGTTGTAAAAAAAGTTATTAATTTAGTTCATTTATTTATACAGCTGCTCTGGAGAAAACAGTGATGTCATTGTCCAGCTCAGTTCAGTTTTCATTCAATAGTGTCAATGCAAGCAGATCAATAATATTATTGAATATTAAATGTCCCAAGCTAAGCAAGCCAAAGGCAACATTGTCAAGGAACCATAACTCCATCAGGTGACAGAATGGAGAAAAAACCTTGGGAGAAACCAGGGGGCCAGTTCTCCTCTGGCCAGCCTAAGTTAAAATAATGTGAACCTTCAACAAAAAGCTTACTTACCATAGACTAACAACCTAGCCATAGCTCATAACAGCTCTGTCGGTGTATATATTTTTTTTATACTCCCGTAACCGACTGTTGCACTCCTTCTACGCTGGAATCAAAGGGACCATTTGATGTACCGATAATTATGTGATGATGTAATGGAAAGCTGTATCCTTTTTAACTGGTTATTCGAAACGAAGTGTTCGTGTTTACGCTCAATTTGCAACATGTTAGCACTGTTTGGAGTACACATTATTTTCATTAATTTATCATTTTTAAATGTGTTTGTATGTTTTGGCTTTTTTCTGTTACATGTGGGTTTCAGCTGCTGTCTTGTACTATGTATACCCTATTATTGTTGTTTGTTTTATGAACCTTTTATAGTACAGTACTTTGGTCAACTATACCGTTGTTTAAATGTGCTCTAGAAATAAATGAAACTTGAAACTTGTCTTTATAAATAAAAATGTTCAAATAATTCAATGAATCTCCGATTCATCTGAAAGGTTTTTTTTTTTTTTTTTTTGAAATTCATGACTGTACATTCAAAGAACTGCGTTGAAAAAGTTTGTGGAACCAGTCGTGAGTCAGAGGGATTTTTTGGGGGGGTAAACCTTCTGTAAGCAGTCATGTTTTAGATTGCTAAAAGTATGCATGTTGGCAGTATAACACACTAGGGGTCACATTTAAAATAATGATAGATTAATTAGGCTTTTGTTTTGTCACGTAATGATGAGGTGTGGATCTAAATGCAAGCTGTTTGTAGATTTATTAGAAAAAAACAACACTGAAACACAAAAGAAACCAAAATAAGAACACAGTCCAAAGGATAATCCACAACATAAAGACAAAATTCAAATGAGCACAGTCTAAATTAAGTTAAAGCAAGAAACAACCAAGAAGAAGGAAAACCATAATATACAAAGGTATGAGGGGCAAAAAAAAAGAATTGTGAAATAAATGAGTAACTAAAGGGAACTAACTAGACAGGAAGTAAACACATGACGTGATACTGAAAGCAGGAAGAAGATAAAAACAAAAGCAAAGACAGGACACCTTATTTAAAAAAAGCAAGCAAACCGATTACACTCAAAAAACTGAGTAAAGTGAAATAGGAATAATATGTAGTACTAACAAGTGCAGTAGTGTATACTTACAAGAGAGTTCCAGTAACTTAAAACTAATTTGTATAGTATACTTGATCATTTACTTTAGATGTACTCTTTTATGCTAGTTGTGTGTGCCTGTTATGACTTGTGTACATATTGTGTGTATTTATGGTCCTTAACCAAACGTGTGAACAGGATGTGTGTAGGGGTAAAGAAGTGAGACGTGGGGGGACAGTGAAGTGGAACACTGAAGAAAGACCCTTCATGAATTTAAAAAGAAAGTCAGATCGAACCATATAACCCTTCAATCAAACACAATTTACAGGATTTTGGAAAATATATAGACCCTGTAGAAGAAAAACAATGTTCATTTATCTAAAATACCAACAATAGTTTTGTGTTGTTTGGCTTTGCTGTGTGGTTCTGGGCCATCTTTGACTTTCTGACTCTTTAGGGGTGAATTTCTTCTCACATGAGCTCAAATGATGCAGTGTTTTTTGTATAGCTAAAGTCAGGTATCATATTTGCACTTTGTTAGTCCCCTGACAGTTATGATTTGATAGTGCTAGAGCTAAGAGGAAATGACGTTGTAGAGTATCTGTGAGGCTGAAGTAACGTTACTTCTCACACTTCCTCCATTGAAAAAGCCACAAACGGGCATTTTTGTTTGCTACGATGGCTTTTAGGCTGCTCCTGTTCATTTCTCTTCTTACAGACAACACAGGTACAAAATCCAATTATTTTACTAAGATAAATAAATCTTTGATTCATGTTTTTTGTCGTTGTTTTTTGATAATGACTGAAATGAAGGACAGATTTAAGATTCTCTTAAAAATTACTTTTAATTCTTAATGTTTATTTACCAGTCCTTTTTTTTTTTGACGAGATTTAAATGATTTGTTACAGTAGTTTGTCTTAGACTTGGCTTTCAATTCTTCTTTACAGAGAAAGATATCAAGCGTAGCGTCAGTTCTGGCAGGTCACGTTAGTCAAGCTCGCATCAGCTGACTCTCAGCTGATCCACGTCTATCCATAGGAATACGACGCCTATCTCTGTATACATATATAAGCTCACTCAGTATTATCAGCAGCATCGTGTTTCTCAGGAGCAAATTACCCTCCTCCATCCCCAGCTCCTCCTCTCGTCCAGTCAGGATTTGGCATTCTATTCCCCTTTAATCAGAATAAATTCTCGAAATACGTTGTATTTTAAAATCTTGAATTAATGATATCTGCAATACATTCATGTTGGTTCTGTTCTGTTGACCCTAAAGGGGGTTATTGCTGCTCTCCTGCTCTTATCATGCTAGGCTGCACGGATGCGTAGGGAGTTCTCGCCCAGATCGGAACCATACCGCCAATCCTAACTGTATGCTAATTGTCAATCGTATTTGATGATAGTGGTCCTGACATAACTTGTTTTTTCCCCTAGAGGTAGCGTACTGCATGCTAAAATGCCCATTAACTAAATTAAATTCCAACTAAAACCTTTACCTTGTGGAAAATGTTAATGTATGAAAACAGCAGTAAGCAAACAGTTAAACAGTTAAACTTTAAGCAAAACCTTATTCCCTCTCTCCACAGGGTTCAGTGCTGATATCTATGTGTTTGTGCAGACGGGAGATTCTGTTCAACTGGATATACAGACACAGAAACTACCAGAGTTTGATATTTTATCCTGGAGAGATGATAAATCAGAGAGTATAGTTAGATATATAAATGAATCTAAAACAGTAAAACTTCACTCTTCCTACAAGGACAGAGTGTATTTCAATGATGAAAGCTTCTCTCTCACACTGAAGAACACTCAGAAGACAGACAGTGGACTCTATACAGCAAAGACAACTGGATTATTGAATAAAGATATTGCTGCTTACAGAGTATCTGTTATAGGTGAGTGATGTGTACGGCTTAATCTATGTAACTCCATTGATCTTTCCTGTAGCTCAAACAACAGAGTGTTGGTGCTTGCAATGCCAAGGTCATGGGTTTGATTCCCTGGGAAAGCAAGTAAATGTGTACCTTGAAATGCAATGTATGTCACTTTGGATACAAAAGCATATGCCAAATGCATAAATGTAAATATAAGACAATGTCAATTATGTTTTGTCCTGGTTTACTCAAGTTTTGAATAGGCAAGTTCTAGCTTCACCGAATCTGTGTATGTGGCCAAAATGTTTTAATGTGTGTTTCAGATGAAGTGGAAGCTCCGGTCCTCACTGTAAACTCAAACTGGTCCAGCCCTGACCCCTGTAGCTTTACATGTAAAGGAACTAACATTATCATCAGCTCCATCTATAATAGTAGCAGCTGTTCTCCAGAAGAAGTGACATCAGATAACTACACTTTAAATCTGAACTGCAGTGATGACCACATTATGTGTAACCATAGCAACCCAGTGAGCTGGAAGACTGACAGAAAGAAGGCTAATGAACTCTGCACTGTTAATCACGGTACATTCCTGTACTGTATCCATACACTCACAAATGAAGAAACAGAAAATTAATAAGAGAATGTAACTAAACACTGATCTGAAATGCCTGTTTGTTTAAAATTCAGTCTGGGAAAACTGATTGTTTTTGTCTTATCTTTTATGTAGAAACACCACAAGCTATACAAAATTCACCGTACCCCACATGGTTTATCCTCCTTATTTGCTTATTGACAACGTGTTTGTTGGCATCAGTGATCGGCTGGTGTCTCTACAAGAGAAAAAAAGGTACAAAGCATCTAAACTTACATTTATTTTAAAGACACATTATAGAGAATTGAATTAATGCAGGCACTATTTCATATTGCCTAGTAAACGTACTACATCCGTACTGTATGTTAACTGCGTGTACTGTATGTCAAATGTCTTTTATTAATTTTAAGAAACAAATATAATCATATTTGCAGTATTTGCACAAAGCTTATGACATTGTGCCTAATTCATTAAGCATTTCAACAGTAAGAAAAACACTTAAACAGTTAACGTTTGACATCAAAATGTAATACAAAACCTAGCCTACTTTTTTTCCAGTGATTTTTGAATGAGTATAGGCTATATGACTTGATTTTTTTTGTTTTGTTTTTTTGACCCAAAAGTAGTTTTGCCAGTCTTTGGAGCTGAAATAACTTCACTTACTATTCTTCACAGATCAGTTCAGGTTTAAAAAACAAAAATGATTTATTATACTCTATAGTAGCATGCGACCATCTGCAGATTTAGCCATTGACTAAATGTGTGTAAAATTAAATGTTTGGCTGAATGAAATATGAAACAGACCATTTAACCTACAGTGTAAAGTTTAAACTAAACTTGTTGTTTTAAACTTCATAGTGGCATCATTTTTTAATAAAGCTACTAATTTTTGGAAATCTTTAGTCTTTCTTACAGAAACACAGAAAGATTAATAATGTATCATACACAACCAATTATATAACAATTCTTGTATTTAATATTAGCATTTTTATTCATAAATGAATGTTTTATTAAAGTTCTAATGCCAGAATTAAAATGCTGGAAGGATGTTTCTTAAAAGTTCAGTTGTTCCTTTAATAATAAAGATTTTTAATAAGCATCCTACATCGATTGTATTTTGACGTGATGAGATTTATGATGTTTTCAGATCATTACTCCCCTGACCAGCAGAATGAACAAACAGTCTATGAAAAAGTTGATGTAAGTTTTATTTTACTATTCTTCATTAACCACTGATGATAAATGTTTTTTTATTTCTTTTTGAATCAAGTTTTGCATCACTGAGTCTGATGTTGATTGAATGTTGTCAGAATATTAAGAATAATAAGCCACAACAAAGTCCACTGGAGATGTTGGAGAAAACAACGAATCCCTGCACACTGTATGATACTGTAAGAGAACATGGACCTCCTGATGTTACGATGGAAACCAACGAGATCTCACCCAGTCATGACTCTGTGAATCAGGTGAAGATTAAACTCTTACTCTAATTTTACAAAAATTTAGATTAAAGACACGTTCAGGCGTGAGAACCTGTGGATGTTTAAATGATGTATTGGAAAAATGTTTTAATGAACGCAAATGATTTTGTTCTTTATTTCAGAGTGCAACACCAACAGAGAACAGCAAGCCAAATACACCAGCCACTATCTACTGTACCATTCAGAAGCAACCAAAATCTGAAACTGATCAAACCATTTATGCTGTGGTCAATAAACAGCAAGCCGAGGATAAATCTGTACATCCAAAACCAGAATAAAATATAATAAAGCTGAACCCTTACAGCGATTCAAATAACAGCAAGGCTGTTGTTTTCGGTGTAAATAAGCAGCAAGTACATTGTAGTTTGAGCAGCAAGTACATGCAGCAAGTAGATTGTATCCATGTCGAATATGTAAATTAATGTAAACTAAAAATAAAAGCAGAAGTATTTTTGATGTAAATTTGTTGCATGTGGCCAGACAGGAATGCAAAACATCACATATTTTCACATATTATATAAAAAATTAAGTTATTTTGTTAATTTGTCATACAATGATGCTCAATTGCAAGTATTACAAGAAATCTCAGTCCTGTACAGATCTTTTGATAAACATTTTCTATTGCATAAATGTAAACCTAAAACATTCTTCGCTCATATTTAGAGTATTGACTCTAAAATAGGTATCAGGTATCAATATAAATAGATGTAATGGTGGAGCCTACGATTGAACATGTTCCAATTGGGATAACCTTTCTCAAAACCAATTCATGCACTACATGGTGTTGTACATTAGGGTTAGGGTATCGATTCAGATGTTCCAGTTTGATTCGATTTCAATTTGCAAGCTCTCAATTCAATTCGATTCTCAATTCGATTTTCGATTTCGATTCTCAATTCGATTTTGATTCTAAATTCGATTTTCGATTTCGATTCCCGATTTGACTCAATGAATATAGATGTAACACAAATCCTATATTTATAAAAAAAGAACAGTGAACAAGTTTACAAGTTAATAAAAAGAAATTAAGAGCCACAAACCTGTATATTAAACTCTTTTTATTTTAGGTACACATGGGTACATTTAAACAGAACCCACCTATATTTCAAATGCATATGAACAGACAGGATTTTGATGCAAGATGAAAAATTGATGCTGAAAACTGGACAAGTCAGAACAGTCGCATGCCTTGATCAAACAGGATCAGGTTGTTTTATGTTTAAGACAAAACAAACATAAAATCTCACAGCATTAGCTGTAACATGGAGGCTGCAAGCCTATGAACAGTGTAGGAAAACTAATACTGGCTTTTGGGTGATCGATAAATAAATATGGGGGAAAAAAACGATTCGTGACCTTTGAGACATTTAAAAAAAATGATTAATTGAAAAATAGTTTTTTTTTGCCCAGCCCTATTGTACATATTGTATATAGTGTAAGTGCACAGCATAGTACATAATCTGAGACACAACTCATCTGTTTGTACAGTGGGGGCAGTGTTTGGAAAACTTGTTTGTTTCCACTAGAGAAATTACACACTTAACTCGATAACATGGTTTTGTCGAAACTGCAATAATGATTAGTGATTGCATTGGGGGCATCAGTTATGGCTATTGGCTATATATTTATTGGCCAAGTATATTGGTTAATAGCTATATATTTCCATCTTTAAGGAAACCATTTGCAGATTTAACCACGGAATAAAAAATAAAAAAATGTTCTGACATAATCTGATCTCAGTCTGGGCCTGAGTACTCTTTCTTTCTTTTTTTTCTTTTGTTCTTATTTTTGGCCACACATAAGCATCAATGTGCAATAAACCTACACTGGCAAACGGCCATTAAATTCCCTATGTTGGGTGATATATTTTGAGCCCAGTTTGACCAGGGTCCTTGCATGTCAACGGCAGATCCTGAATCCATTGCAGTAAAGAACTTATCTGAAGCAGCAGAGAGGAGCAGCAACTGGCTGTGGTTGAGACGGAAAGATTCTAGCTGGCTGTGTCCAGGCCGCCACGCTACGGTTTCGTAGAATTCCTGAAAAACTCGAAGAGTCTGTTGGTTTATTTGTATAGTTTGCATAGTAATTACAGTTATTACGTTCCTGTGTATATTGCGTGAATGAGGGTTGGTGATTGGGCGGATATGGTGTTTTGCGGTAGTATGCCATACGGAACCGTTGCCAATGAACCTACTTTAACGAAGACAGTGGGGCTCGACAGCCTTAGTCAAACGGGTTGGCGCGTATGGTTGGGTTGCGGAGAGATTGTGGTTAGGTCACATGTGAAATATACGAGGAAGGAGCAACCTCAGCAGCAGGAGGGATGTAAAGGTCAGTAAGCTGGGCTGGGTTGAGTGGGGGACAGAGGGGGGTGACTCTGGGACGCCAGAGTCACTGTCGAGCCCTCTTGAGGTGTTGTGGGCTAGTCGACGAAACACTGAGGACGGAAGGTGCCCACTTGAAAACCCTAGAGATGTCCTCTACTCGGCTCAATCCAGACGGTTGTCGTGCTGGTCCACTGGGGAGACCACACTGTAGTTGCAGCCGTTGTGTGTGCTGACGCGCCAAGTACACTGCAGCCGTTAACGCCGGACAGAAGGAGATTCACATCACCATATGGAAAGAAGCGTAAATGGTTGGAGAAGCATAGGTTACTGTAAAGCTACGTCTTAGTTTGTGCTCATCTTGGCGAAAGCCGAGTACAAATCAGCATGAAGTTTTAACATCTACTCTCGTGTAATGGAAATCAGGAAAGTAGTTTTACATTAAAGAGGGTATTTCGGACACTCAAGGTTTGTTCCCTACTTATTTACACACCTATTGTAAACTGTCTTTAAAATAAATATCACACACGCTTTATCACAAATACAAGGACCGCACAATGTTGTTTAAAATATTTTGAGACAGAGTCTAGCATGTCACCACAGGAATTGCCACTTCCTATTACTGATAATAACAAGCTTAAAACTTCTGCTTTTAAATCTTCTCTTCTGACTCATTGTTAGACTCCATGACTAAGTCCAGCGTATATATACCACGGATGTCATTTCTCGTGCCATTTATACGCCAAAAATGTTTTTTGCGTGCATATGCTACGCACTGAAAACCCCTTGGGTAGGTTAAGGGGGGAGGGGGGTGGGGAGTGTGTGCGTATTACACGCCATAAAGTGCGTATCATATGCACGCGAAAACTGCGTATCATATAGACGCAAAAACCATTTTTGCCGTATAAATGGCACGAGAAATGACATTCGTGATATAGATACGCACTTTCATGAGATCGGGCTCGTTTTTTCTCAGTCTTGCCACAGAGGCTGATCACTGTAAGGTTCAAAGTAACACTGAATATTCCTTTGGAAAGTTCCAGATAGTTAAACATCATAGTTGCCCATCAGAATGAGCAAACAATCCATGCAGAAGTTGGACGTGAGTTTCTGTCATGGCCATGTTTAGTTTCATTTTCTTGTTTAGTTTCTGGTCATGGTTTTCTTTGTCTCTGCTGTCATAATTACTGTAATTTCCAGATGACAACATGTGAGGTTCTATTCTGAGCTGCTGAGGGGACACCGGTTCCCTAATTTATGAATGATCATATTTAAGCCCTCAGGTTTTCTCAGTTCATGTTTCTCTTGTTAATGTCAATGTAAAGTTGTGAAGTTTAGAAAAGAGTCTAAAGCACTTCTTCTGCTTAAATTTTTTTTTTAAAGCCTCTATTCACATCAAGGGTTTTTTTTTAACTTTTTTTTTGTACTGAAATAAGTGCCTTGGACTCTTTTCTGAAGTGTAAGTATGCAGCATGTTTTGTATCTTTAGGTCTACAGAAAGTGCTTTTTAAAAAAAACAAAAGCCTGGAGTATCTCTGTTAGAGTCTGTATATGACCACTGACCACTCATTTAAGCCAAACCAACAGTTTGACATTTTGCATTGTGTCCTCAGGAGAACATCAAGCCTCAAAAGTCACTGAAGATGTTGGAGAATTCAGAGAATCCTCACACAGTGTATGATATCGCAGGAGATTCAGGACAACCTGATGTTACAGTGGAAACATCTAGGTTACATATGGTAACCCTCGTTCCCTGAGGGAGGGAACGGAGACGTAGGTCAGACTGACCAATAGGAATCTCGCTAGAGAGGCCAATCTACTTCGAGTGAAACTAAAACAAGCCAATGCACATTGGCGTGCAATCATTTGCATCAGCTGTGAGCCTCGCAGCGCGGGTATTTAACGAGCAGCTGTTGTGATTGCACACTAGTTTTTTGCTGAGGAGCCAAACCTGAAAAAGCTGGCCGCCCCAGCGGGCGGCAGCAGATGTGGCGACGGGACCTACGTCTCCGTTCCCTCCCTCAGGGGACGAGGGTTACCATATGTAACCGAGACATTCCCTATCGGTCAGTCACTACAACGTAGGTCAGACTGACCAATAGGAATCCCTACCAAAGCGCCACAGCTGCTGCACCCCATCCAGCAAGGCTCTACACCTTCTTGTCTGGAAGGACGATAGGAGGAGGCTTACACAGAGTGTATCTGTCACTGTTATTCCGTAATAACCCATACAGTGAGATTATTGGATAACACTGGGAAAGCGTGCCCTTTCTATTTAGGAAGGAGAACGCTGCGGAAGCCACTTCTTCAAAGAGTTATGTGGAAAATACATATGGACTAACCCGAAGGTTGTACTGCATATGAAACAATGGGTGACTTAGCCCAAGGGAAAGACACGGGCTTCCCTCTTAGGAGCAGCCGTGGAGAATATACACATATGGGATCCCCGTAGGGTCACACATATGGAACCCAGCCCAGATCCGGCTCTCAAGGATTCAGCGGATAAAGGCCTGGCACCGGACGCTCCGCCATGTCCGGGCCGAGGGGTTTTGGAGGACTCGACAGGTTTTTCACTCTGGAGTAATAAGGGTGCACAGTAGGGTGCAGCAAGCCGACAGAGCCGGGCCTCTCGGTGCTTCTACCCGTTTAGGGTTAGAACACGGGAGGAGACCGGCTCTACACGTAGGCTATAATATCTAGCGAATGTGTTAGGTGTCGCCCAACCCGCAGCTCTACAGATATCTGTTAGCGAGGAGCAACGTGCCAGCGCCCAGGAGGATGCAACGCCTCTCGTGGAGTGTGCATGCAACCTGAGCGGGCAGGGCACGTCTTTTGCTTGGTAAGCCAAGGCGATGGCATCCACTATCCAGTGGGCCATCCTCTGCTTGGAGACAGCCTTTCCCCTCTGCTGGCCTCCGTAACAGACAAAGAGCTGGTCTGAGGTCCTGACGCTTTGAGTTCTGTCCACGTACATACG